AGTATTTCTACCAGATACATAGCGTGTTTTTTTAAATAAGAAATAAAAGGAATATATATATATCTTATTAACCAAGCGCGAGGGCCGTCCTGGGAGAATATCGGCCCGAGGTCTTGACAGTACGGACCTCGCTGCGCTTGGTCCGTACAAAAAAGACCGATGGCCGATATTCTTCCAGTAGGGTCCCGAGCAAGCTTGGTTAATAAGAGATTTATTATAGGACTGAAGTTCAAAGGGACACAAGTGCGGTATCAATCTGGACCATTCGGGACATTGCCCGGTTCAATACCGAGAGAACCGGCAATAGAGCATTTTGATTGGTTGATTTTAGTTATTGGCCCTCTGACTGCCCTAGTCGTGTAATAAATATTTGTATGCATTTGTTTTCTTTAAGTACCATGACAGGAATTGAATATGTAGTTCTCCATGTTCAAGATCCAATCCTATATGTCATCCGAAAACAACACAGAAATTCCCCAACTCAAGGTACATGCATGATATATTGGTAAAGATTTTTTTTAATACACCAGTGACATACACTGATGGATTTATAAAATGGAAGGGGTGCTTGAAAAAACCTGCTGCAAATATCGATTAGCAGCTAGATTCTCCCTTCAAAATGTGTTTTATTCCCTATTGAAACAGTCTTTTCAAGTCTTTTCTTTTATTGCCTGTTTGCAGTTACTCCACTAGCAGATTACTACATGTTGGCAGGAGTGGTTTACCAAGCACCTGAACTTTGCTCTGTCATCAATTCTAGATTGGTTAGTAAAAAAACCTACTAGACTTTTTTAGCTTATGAAACCTTTGTCCTGTCTTGTCATTCCAATCTTCTAAGAGAGGATATCTTCTGTGCATTGAGAAGTGTCTGTTCAACATTGAGTGTGGCAGTGAAAAGGCACCATTAACCATTTACCCCCCTTTCTTCACATTTTGTCTAATTTTTATTTAGATTGCAGCTTGTAAATTTTTATATGAATGAAATCACCAATCAGGAAGTGTTGTTTTATACTTCTCCAGCTTTCTGCTTTACACCACATACAAGCAGCTTTTGATGAAGGTAAATGTTTTAAGATTAAATATGCTAGAGTACTTCGAAACTTCTGACTCTTGAGTCAATGGAGATAACAGTCAATGTGTCACTTATTTTGCCTAATACAGCATTACTAACAGTAAGCAATGTCAACGGTAAATGCGCTTCAGTGGCACTGTCTATATTAAGTGCTTTGGACTGATGATTGAGGGAATTAAGGGGTTTTTGTTTTAAGAGTGAGGTTTGGGTCAAGAAGCAAAATATGGGTAGATGAGAAGTTAAGGGTGGAAAGCGAAAATGGTAGGAGTGGGGAGTGACAGTTGAGGGGAAGGGAGTGTTGGAATTGAAGGCTGAGAATGGGAATTCTTGGATGGAAAGTGGAGACTGAGGGGTGAGCGGTGGGATTTGAGGGGTGTAGAGTGAGAATTGTAATGTGGGGAGTGATAATTGAAGGGGGAAGATGGGAAATTGAGAATGATCTTTGTAGTCTGCAGATCAAAGTAGTGCTCCTTACTGTGAAAATTGTTTTCATATGCAGTTCTTTAACTGCAGTTCAAATATATGATTTTCATATATTCATAGCCATTTACTCATCACCTCACAGGTTTATTACGAACCACCATAATGACCAGCTCCCAGTTGGCTTGTTAGCTCAGTTGGTAGAGTACTGCACTGTATCACAGAGGTCCTTGGTTTGAATCCCGTACATGATCTAATTTTTTTCAGGTCTTATTTTCACTTCTGCCTAAGCTGTACCCCTTACTGTGAAGATTGTTCTCATATGCATTTCTTTAACTGCAGTTCAAATATATGATTTTCATATATTCATAGCTGTAGTAAAAAAAAGAGTTTAACCAGCTGTGCAAACATTGAAGAAAATGTCTGTTTGGGACTTGCACAAGATATACATGCATTACCTGTTGGTTGGCCCAGGGATAGTGTGTTTTTTGTGACTGAGTTTGAAGCTTTTTTTTGTTTTTTGTTATAAACAGCTTCATCATACTCCAGGTACCATCCTTCTAAAGGTTACTGGTGGGAGTTTAAAGATAAACAACAGAAACATTTAACAGGTGAGCCATACAATTACCACACTGAGAAAATAATCTCTGATAGAAAGTAATGCATTTCTACACAGAAAGCAGAGGATTCATAGTTGACATTGTTTGGTTTTAGTTTTGCATCCACATGTAATTAGTAGAGAGAATGACGTAAGTTATTTGGACCAAACACAAAGCAAAATAATAAAAACAATGCTATTTCTGCAGTTATTAATTTTGACACCATATCACAAATTACGTTTAAATATAGGAAAACGCAAATGACCAAAATGTGATTCATTTCATTTTGAATCTGATTGGTTTAGAGGATGGCGCAAGTTTTCTGGGAAAATCAGATTGCAAAGCTATGCAAAATCAAAGCAATCCCAGATTACTTTTGAGATTCAATCAGAAATTGCTCTGTGTATCTCTTAGCTTTGTCAGTTACCTCTCCAGATAAACAATGTCTGTTTACTCTGCTTTTTTTTTTCTGATTTAGCTTCTAAAAGGAGCCAAAGTAACAAGGAAAAGACAGTGAAGGATCCAAACAAAGAGCCCAGTTCACAGTTTCAACGGGAAGGTGTTCACATGTTGCTTGGGGAACTTTCAAGAAAGTTTCCACCTCAGTTTCTACAAGGACAGACTTCCACAGGTAATTTAATAACAATAAACAAGGTTTAGACACTGATACAAGCAATTTGATGGCAAGGAAATGCATACATGAGCCTGAGAAATTGAGTACAGTAAAACAAATTTTGAGGTAATTTGTAGTCCCTAAATGCAGGTGCCTTTATTTTTCATCACATCACCACATTGAAATTTGTAATCCATGTATGATTCCTTTGAACTGAATGCTGTACATTGCCTCTAAACATTGCTAATAATGTTGATTCCCAGGGCATCTTGTTTGAGGAAAAGGAAAGAAAATTTCACTATTACCACTAAGCAAGGCCAAATGACAAACTGCCCTCTCTGAAACACTCCTTTTCACAGGCCAAAAAGCAAAGTGCAGACTGTAAATGGTATTTGGCGGCCTGAGAGGGATGATGGGGCTGTAAATGATATTTGCCGCCCTGAGAGGGATGATAGTGACTAAACACGCTTACCGTACTTACTAAATGAATTGTACGATTTTGCCTTGTGTTTTGATAATAATAATCACATGACTTTTGGAGGGCATATAGTTTATTTGTGTCCCTTGTAGCGTCATTTGCACCATCGCTCTGCTTGGGGGTAAATGATGCTACTCGGACCACAAATAAACTATATGCGCTCCAAAAGTCATGTGATTGCCCTATTATGGGCCCCCCCCCTTTTTGTTGAAAAGTCTTAAAATGCCCTGTGATTGGTGGATAAAGCTTAATACTCAAACTGTATTCCCCGAAGATACTTTGCACTTTTACTCTGGTACCTTGCTCAATACAAATGAAACATCATCTCTTTGACAATTTACTGAGCTATTTTTAAAAGTTTTTCTTTACTTTTTTACTAAAAAGAAATTAAGTGTTTTTTTTATGTTATACTGATGTAACTTAAGGGGCACAATATCAGTTTTTATTATATGGCTGTGTCTCACAAGGACTGGGAACTACCGAATTCACAAATTTGATTGGCTGAAATCAATATTGAAAGTGGTCTAGATTTTCCTATCTAGACCGGCATCTAGATCAGTCTAGAAAAAAAAGCTACAAAGAATATAAAAAATTGGCATATAAGACAGCCATATGATAAACATCTTATTAACTGAGCTAGGTTGGTCTGTATGGGAGAATCTTGACCTCAGTCGCTGGTACAGACCTCACTGCATTCGGTCTGTACTGGTGATCTCGGTCAAGATTCTCCCATACAGACCTCCCGCTTAGTTAATAAGAACTAAATCTAGATGTGCCCCTCTCCTCTCCTACCTACATACAATGTGACTTAATTAAGTGGTGTAATTTTGTATTGTAAGTTTTCTTTTCTTGAAAATTTCATTTTTTTAACTCTACTTTTTCACCTTGTACTTAATTCTGTATTATCATCTAAGGTTTGGAGAAAGAAATAAATAGATAAAAGTGCAACTGACAAGAGAATTCATTCAAAGGTAAAACATCATTTTTATGAATTGGACCTTTCTGTACTTATTTTGTTTTCATCCAGGCCAGGCCAAGAAGAACGGAGACAAAAATTCTAACGACGACAGTGAATCTAAAGAGGCAGACTCTTCAGCACTTGTAGAGCCGCTTTCTAATGGTGCTACTGTGACAGGGGGCCTGGGCACCAATGCATCACGTGGTCCTCTTAACTCCCACCAGGCCATTAAGAGAACAGCAAGCAGTGATTCCTCCACAAAACCACCCCCAGGGAAGAAGAAGAAAATTTGAACTAAACTTGAGAATTTGAAAAGTGGGAACATTAATTAAAGATGTGGGAAATCACAGGGTTTCCTTGGAAATATAAAGAAAATATGACTTGACTCCAGAATAAAGCAAGTTGATCAGTGAGCTCACCCAGATCCTTCCTTATCGGGCTCATTCTTTGGCTTACCCTTTTCACAAGAGTGTATATGTGAATAAACAGGAGAGTGGTGGCTCGAGGCAGGCGGAGATGATGATCCTGTATAGGACATTGGTAGCATTTCACCTAGGAGGATGTCATCATTTAAAACAGGATAACTGCGCTTGTCCAACACTAGAAGTGGTGGGGAGAAGCAGGACTACCTACCAATGAGTTGTGCAGCATCTGCCTGGAATCAGACCTGTGTAAATAGTGATGTAATAAAGTGAATCCCGAAATGGATCCGTACTGACCCCTCTCTTGCTTCTTCCTGCCATGGGGATCAGTCCAGTGACACCTTCCCCCTCCCCCTCACCCACCCAATCTTTGAAAAGATTCATACTGTATTCATTTCACAGTTATTTGTTGCCATTTTCCGTTTTTCTAATTCTTTGCGTTCTTGGCTGGGATGCTGTTACTAAAAACTCACTTTCTGGTCATTGATTTCATCGTACTTTCATTTTGTTTACTAAGTTCAATTTGCACAAAAATATATTATATTATTTGATGTAACCCAACTACAGAAGCACTCATTCCAAAAGAGAAAAGTGTTTCACGGTAGAAATACAACTGGTTCTACATTTTATAAAATTGCACCGTCTCTATTTATACTATATTTTAGATGAGTGAAAAAACCAAATACAAATAGGAGAAAACTCCCATGGATTATGACCAAATGAGGAGTTAGAGCTACGCTAACACGAACGGCAAGGATGAGGTAGTGATAGTTTACTGCCACCCTTTCAGCCAGTCTTACGAAGAAAAGTTCGAAGTAGGAGACGAATTTTGCTATTCACATTTGCAATGAAATTGTAGTTCTTAATGTACGGGAGGGTAAATTTTCTCAATTTCAAGTTTATTTTTGATTTCCTAAAGGCGCCTACCTTGAGCAAATTATGTTCACAGAAAAAAGCTGATTGGAGCAAAGGCAAAAGAATTCATTAAGGAAGCTTGGTGTGGTGTAATGCCAGCAAACTTCACTGTTGACTGACAGTGAATGGCGTTCAAGAAATAGAAGCCTAAAAATAGTCCACTCTCTCTTAATCATTACACTCCTCTCGTGTTGGTTGCAAAGGTTTTCCGAATTCGAAGAGAATTGACTATACCCTTCCCAAAGTATTAGTATTACTCTTTTTTTGTATTCTCTACAATATCTTCTAATCACGGATTCTAATATTTCATTTTTTAACAATATACTGATGTTGCACTGAAAGGAATAAAAAATGATGATTATTCCTCCCATTGTTAATCGTTAACCCTTAACTCCCCGAAGTGATAAACATGCAACTTCTCCTTGTAATATCCATACATTTTCCAGCAAGGAGTTAACGAGAATACTTAAACTTATTAACTATAGGTTGTTATCTTGATCTAACACCAAATTCTCGTAACTAACTTACAGGGAAATATGTAACAGCTCGAAGGGAGAATTATCAAATGAATCAGATCGTGGGAGTTAGACATATTTTGGTGATATTTTCAATGAGAAACGATTGGTTACGCTATTCCTCTACTGGAAGGTAATTGTTCTTTCCCAGAATGCAACTCAAAGGAGTGTAACTTCCTTCAAGAATTAAGCAAAGCCATGTTTTTCAAAAAAATAGTCAAATCTTAAAAAAAACTACGGCTTACTTCTAACTTTTCATTACCAAGATCAATCAGTTCACAGCTCTCCCCTCTTATGCACGACAATAAATTTTTTTGTCTAACAGTTCCATGGTAACAAACTGATCAATCCTAAGAGTCATATGATCATGGTTAAAGAAGCCTTCGCCATATTCATCCCTTTTCTCACGAGTGAGTGGTATACCTTACTCGTGTTTCGCTCGAACCTCCTGCATATGCTTGGTGTGTTGCCGAACAATTTCCTCCACAACTGATGGATCCGCTAAGGTAGACACGTCACCCAGTTCATCAGGTTTGTTCTGAGCTACCTTCCTCAAAATACGGCGCATTATCTTTCCTGAGCGGGTCTTTGGGAGACCAGACACGACCTAAAGGAAAACAAAACAAGTTCAGGAATTCGAGTTCGCACGCGTGTTCACACACTCTGCTGCGCCTGGTCGACGCGCGGCCGTTGCCCAGGTTCCCATGCGGGAAATTTAAGTTTCTGTGCAAGCGCGGTAGCGGCATCTTCAAACGGTGCCACGAGGCCAGTGAGTTAAAGCTCTCTGTATCATTCAATTTCTCGATTTTTGGTCTTTAAGTTGTGTTAAACACTGTAACATTTAGCGTGAGTTTTTTCGAAGCCTTCGTGAAGGACTTTAGATTAAAGGTTTTGATTTTACATGGTTAGTCACCGTTCGCGGCAACACACTTCAGATTTCAGTCATTCAGACAATCCCCTGGAATATCAGATTGAAGTAGTATATGAAGTGGATTGAAGTGGGTAAGAGACTCGGTATGGGCAAGTGAAGTTTTAAAAAACCGACTTTCCTTTGAATTCTTTGTCATGCTAAAAAGAGTACCATCACTTTTAAAGAGCATCATAACCGATTCTGAAACTTAAAAAAGTTCGTTGCGAAATGCCATCGGTAACTGTAACTGTGTCGGGCGCAAGAAAATATGTAACAGGGGCCAAATGCAGGAAATTATGGAAATTACAACCGATGCCACTCGCACACAAGATCTCGGAGAGAAAAAAAGCCAGAATCGGTGCCATAGAGCATTAAAATATGGACCACGTCCAAACCGAGGAAAAATCGTAACCGTTTTCCAAAGCAGATACTTGCCAACTATTCCAAGCGCACTGAATCGGCGCCAAACCGAGTTACGCTACAGTTACTAGCTTGATTACCTTGTTTCGATGCCAAACAAGGAAAAACATCCAGAGGATTCAAGGCGTGGAAACGCACAACCAGCACTAATAAGTCCCCCTATGTAGAAGTCAGTTTATTCAGACGATAGGTCGCTTCTCATACACGAATTAAAACCTTTCAAACACTTAATTACCTGAATGACTTCTGGAACTGCAAAGGAACCTATCTTCTCTCGCACGATGGCCTTAAGTTCTGTTCTTAGATCTTCCGCAGATATGGTAGCGTCGTCCTTGAGTGTAGCATACGCATAGATACCTAACAAAAATAGCAAACAAATATGCTGCCATATGTCTCCTTACAAACTCCTTGTGATATAAATCGCTTTCCCAGGTACAGTTCGCCAAGAAAGGTTAAGTAATGAGATCAGTGGCCCACAACGGCGGGTGACAACCGTTCCCCACTTCCCCCGTTTCTGCCATATCAAGTGACTAGGAGGAAAAAAGATAAACATTTCCCCCAAGAACACGGCACCACCACGACCCACTTCGGGGTTAGGACACGGCGGTACTTCTCGCTCCAGTCTTACTCTTTTAACCTCTAAGAATAACCAGAAAGCTCACAGTTCTACTCCTAAATCAAACATTACGGTCCTGAGAATAAAGGAAATAATTAACAACCGCAGAAGCTGTTGACTGTTCTACAAAGTCTCCTCGAAAGTTTTCTGTTTCTAAAGAATGTCACATCGAGGGACTACAAACCGACCTTCTCCTTTCACAGGATGCGGAAATCCGACAACAGCAGTTTCAGCCACTGATTTGTGATAATCCTAAACAAAAAGTGAATCCCAATAATTTGGTAATACATAAGGGACATTTCGACTTGAAAAGTTTACTAGTCGAGTCGCAATGACTGAGATCTCGATAGACAGTGAAGATTTTAATCGAATAAGAAATCTTAAGAAATGATTCCGCTAGAAAACATTCGACTGGATCAAATCACACAATTTTGAAGCAGTCATTCGTTACCATGGCGTCTTCGATTTCTGCCGTTCCCAGGCGTTTGCCACTGACGTTGATGACGTCATCCATCCTTCCCGTGATTCTGTAGTCTCCGTCCTTGTCTCGTAACGCACCGTCACCGGTAAAGTAAAATCCTGAAAACGGAAAAAACCGGTGAACAGCAAGGTATTGTACTGACAGCCAACGAGACTAAGAGATAGTCAAAACTCTAGGCTACACTTTTTGTGTCTCCGTCTGTCTGTAGGTATATGGAAAATAAAGAAAGAGCGAGGCTGCAACAAAAATCCTAAAAGCACCAGAGATGGCGAAGGGCGAAGTAGATAAAAAAAAAGATCGCAAATTAGGGACTTGAAAAATTCAGGTAAAATTTTTCAAGAGAAACATACTGATAAGTAGCAACAGTAACCAGTTTGCAGCGTGGAAAAAAAATGCTGGCAACCAGTGCCTAGGGCGGGAAAATCGACTCTGTGCCAAAAACATGCGAAAGACGGGAAAATTCGTAAAGAAACAATAAGCGTATTTTAATAACCTAAGAAGCCGTTCGATCCGCCCACTGCAGTAAAACAAAGCAACTGCACTACGTTTCCCTACTTTACTACATAATATTTTCATAACCTTGACATTTACATTCCAAAGAGCCTACCTTTGAAAGGATTGTAATAGGTGTCTAGAAACCGCTGATGATGGCCATATATAGTACGAGACATACTGGGAATGGACGTGCGTATACACAAGGCGCCTTTGACGTCATTTCCGATGAGCTCTCGACCCTGAAACAGTCAGCGAATTGAAATTTATTAGAGTAGCCAGTATAAGGGAGGCAGTGGCAGGAAATGGCCAAGATGAGTCCCTTATTCCTTCAGCTTTCGTTGCTGTCTAAGAAATTCCCAATTCATCGTTTGATCTAACGTTATTCTGCCCCAGCGGACTCGTCTAACATTAGCTGTGGTTGGATTCTTTGAGATTTAAGCATGGGTTTCAATAACTTTTTCCATATGAAGCCGCTAATGGCGGCTGTGCCCGAAGAGCCCGCTCGCAGGCTCAACAGACGGCGGTAACTGAGGGGACTTATAGGCTTAAATTGAAACCCTCGTACAGTAAACACCCGAAAATAAGAACCTAGTGGATAAAGAACCTCTTGGCAGAAATTTGCCATTTTAATACCCCTTCAAATAAGAACCTGTTTAGCCAAACATGATCAAGCAGGTTCTTATAATATGGGTTACAGCTAAATTACAGGATAAACAAACCACAAGTTACTGACACAATTTATTGGTGTGTGTAAAAGAAATAGAAGATAATTTACACAAAATTCTTAATATAATACAGTAGTGCAAACACTATATATGCTATATAGCTAGTTCTATAGAAATAGCAGCATTTAGTGTTATTTACTTGTTACAGTAGTTAAAAGTTACAGTTATACAGTCTTGTATATAAATTTAGCCCGTGCAAAGCTTTTTTATTATTCTTATGATATATATGCAAAAAAATGACAACTGTATCCCCCTCTTAGCAATTAAGAACCTAATTAGGAACCTGTTTTGCCAAAATTACCAACAACTACCCCTTTAAACAAGAACCTTTTTTGCCAGACTGCCAAAAAATAAGGCTCTTATTTTCGGGTGTTTACTGTATCGGCCATGTAATTTGAACCAATACCCACCCATGCAATCCAATTTGTTTGCGCTCAGTTCTTCCTAAATGCAGTCATATTCTTCAAATTAACTGAATTGTATGAGCTCGTGGTTTCTATCGCGTGATAGTCCATGAGAACAAAGCTCGAATCAAGAGATAGAAATCGTGAGAGAATAATCTAATTGTTTTGCTATAAATCTACTAGTCGTTCAAAACTTATCAATAATCATGCTGATATTTTTATCTCTTCGCGGTTACAACCCCCCAGAGTTAAACAACCGACTATCTATCATGGAATAAGATGGCGAGTTGGGTAGCCAATCAGATTGCAGCATTTTTGATGGAGCGATAGCGGATTAATGCTAGTCAGTGGAATAGACAAGTTAGGACACATCGTATACTCAAAGGTTGAAAAGTCGAGAAACAATATATACTTCGCAGACAACTGAATAGATCAGTACCTTGTCATCCAGTAATACAGGTTCTACTCCAAAGAAGGGTCTGGCGGGAAATTCTGGTTTAAGGGGTGAATCATTCGGTGCAGGTCTAGGAGATAGAAGAATACCACCAGTCTCTGCAAGAGACAACACAAGACGTTTTAATTGGCTTATCCGTTAGTTAGTTAGTTAGTTCTTTTCGTTCGTCTATTTATTTATGGCCTTGGCCAGAGAATGCCCTTAAAGAAATTGCAGAAAGGAAGCCTCAATTTTTTCGCTCCGACGAAGGGCTAACGCTCGAAACGTCAGCTTTTGTAATCGTTACGGTGGCCAATTTACCATTTCAACTTTGTTGATTTATCCAAATTATTTCGTTACCCCCACCGACGCAGCCCCCAAACAGTTTCTTTAAAAACTATCAGCATTTACTCAATTTTTTAAGGCTTGGACGGGTTTGGCACCTGTGCAATAGAGAGAAGACAGAGAACTCGAAGCAGTTACATTCTCACCTGTCTGCCACCAGGTGTCCACGATAGCGCATCGCTTCTCCCCAACAACCTCGTGGTACCAGTGCCAGGCCTCAGCATTGATTGGTTCACCAACTGTGTTTTCAAGGACGTAAAATCACATGACTTCAAATTCGAAAAAGGAAACAAAATGTACCCCTCCCCGTATTACCTACAACTCGTTGCTCAAATTTGAGAAGGGTTTACGACTGGGAAAATACGTCACTCTAAATTTAAATGCATTTTTGAGTATTTTTATAGAAAAAGCGCAATATAAGTATTAAACATTATTAAAATATTATTATTATTTAAGAGAACTTTCACCGATTAATATTCATATTAAAGAGACTTAGCGTGGTGTTTACTTGAAACGACAAACGTCAGCTTGTCCTTTCACGTTTCACGTAAAATAGCATGAACCTTGCTTGCTTTGGCTTAGCGTGAGTTCACTTCAAGGTGAATTTGAAGGCGCCCTTGCATGACTTACAAGGAAAAGTATTGCTGCCTTTTACCCAGCAATAAACTTCAACTTTGTGAGAGAAAAAGTGAAGAAAGTCTTACGTTCACGGAAAAAGCGAAACAGGTTACTTTCACGTAAAAACGGCGAAGTGCAACCGACAAACGTGAAAAAATGGCGGGAAAAACAAGGTCTCGTGGTCACTCTTACCATTCACGTTTCACGTAAACGCGGTGCTAAATCTCTCTATTGTTTGAAACAAAAAAATGCTGTCGTTTCCCCCACTTTATTACGCGTTACTCCGCAGGCGTCTTCTCACCGCAGATTAATCGTTCTCTTCACACCCGGAAAAAACTACGTTTTGGTTTTTCAGAAAATGTTTTTGTCACCTACTGCCTTTCGTAGAGGTGACTATGAACTGTTGCTATACTTTGCTCTGAGGGCCATAAATTTAGGGCCCAAACTCAGTTTGCGGAGTTCGGATTAACACAACAAACTGCCGCTATAACGCTCGGTCCAAACAAGAGAAAATGTTTCTCCAGTAATTTAAATTTGTCTGGGAAAATATCCCGGTTAGTGATGCTACCGTGATAACGAACCTGTTCCTAGGAGTTTCAAAGACGACCTGTCATACTTTGTGACATAAGAATTGCTTGATTTCAGCAACAATCTTATTGCAGTTGGTGCGCCATAAAATTGATTTACTCGCAGTCTCTCTACCATTTCCCAATAACGTCCCGGGTCTGGATAAGTAGGGGTGCTCTCAAACAGAACCGTGGTGGCCCCATTACATAAAGGGCCATATACAACATATGTGTGGCCTGTGATCCAGCCTATATCAGCCACACACCCAAAGATGTCTCCAGGGTGGTAGTCGAACACATACTGGAAAAAATGTTGTAAAAGTATAAATTTAATTAGCATAATGGCTCAAGCACCATCTCGAAGTAACAGGGTAATAATTATGATGACACATGTTGCGTGTTTAAATTTCGAAATTGGTTTGATTCTCTGCTCCATAGCTTAGGTGAAAAGATCTGTCACATTGCGAGTGCTCTAAGTAACAGCAAGGTAATAATCTCCTCACTAAAACAGCAAAGATGCTGAGGCATGATGCTCTTTGAATTATCTCTCCTTTCTTAGTAATTTGACCCCTGTAAAACAACTCGCTTGCTGTTACTTGTTAGAAAGCAGATTGTAAACAATCCACAAAATCAAAAGAGCTCACAACTCAAAAAGTTCTTTAAAATAGAAGTTTATAATTTGCAAAAAGTGATATATTACGAAAGCAAACTGGAAGATCTTACCTTGTGTGTTAATTTAGCATAAAGAAGGTACCCAGCCTGTGTGTGGACCACGCCCTTGGGTTGTCCTGTGCTGCCAGATGTGTACAAAAGAAACAAAATGTCTTCACTCTCCATTTGCTCAGGTTCACACTCTGTTGACTGCTTACTCATTTCCTACATGGACAAGATATTAACAGTTACCATTAGAGATTAATATTAACAGAAACAGTTGTAATAATTTTAACCGCCTCCCGGTTAGCTCAATGGATAGAGCACTGGACTNTTGATGTTGTGGTTAGCTGTTCTACCAACTCAGCTTAATGAACCCTCTAATTCAAGCCTAAGATCACATTTCTATTCTACTTTGCCTTGTACATCATAATCTAAATCAGGAGAAAAAAATCCATCTACTGCTGTATTAACCTGAAGTTTGACCTGTGACATTGGCGGGTTAAGCCATATCCACCTGAGAAGCAAACTGAGATTGAGAAACTTAAGCTGGTGACACACCTAATGGTTTTATTCACAGATCACTGTGAATTTGAATGATGGGATATCAGCATATAAAATCACCGATATCTGACATGTCAGATATTGATGATTTTGTATGGTGATTTTATGCACGGATAGGAACAATCCCCAAAAATCAAAATCGCCCCCATCGAGCACACCTGGCAATTTTTGCCAATTGCAGTTATTTGCATATCAAATCACCAAGTGTGTCACCAGCTTAATATTAAGTAACCTACCTTGAAAAATTACAGTCCAAGTAAAATATTGACCAGGAAAGTTACCTTCTCAAGAGGAATGTCAAGTTTTCCCATTGGAACATTTGCTCCAGTACGGCTGGCAACAAACACTCTCTTAACACATGGGCTGGCAGCCACAGCCTTGTCAACCATGTGTTTTAGATCACCGACTTTTCCACCTCGTACCACTTGATCTGCTGTGACGACTGTTTCAGCCTTTGCTTTGAAACACAACACACAGAATTACACTTCCCAAAACAACAACCTTGCACAAGAGTCAAAGTTTGATCCCTAATCAACTAGAACTACTTGTATGAGCCAAATATCATTGTGATAGAGCACATTTCACACCAAAACCAAAGTAACCATGTCAGCCTCTTAGGGAAAATTAAAAATACCACAACAAATTAAGTTAAAACAAGCAAACTGTACATGCTACAAGCAAAAGAAAGTGACCAAGCAGTGATAAAAAAATAATTTGAACCCTTTGCAAGGTCTAGTGGGGTAGTGTTTTTGCCCACTAGTTGTGGCAGATATATTTGGCTAAGAAAAAGAGAACCTTGAAGATTTTCAACTTACCATCATTTATTCTACTGGCCAAAGCTTCTGAGCTGAACCCAGCAAATACAACACTGCAATTAGAAAAAGCTTACCATATTTACCCGTGTATAATGCACGCCCATGTATAATGCACACCCTTGTTTTTAACCTATTAAATTTATCAGGGAAAAAAGTTTTTCACAGCAAAAAAGACAAGTTAAATATTCGTACAATTATTTATTAAGACAACAAGAATAAGAAATTTACTATACCATTAGCATCAATATCTTTTGTTACTTAGTTATTTATGACATTATTGAAATTAAACTTTAGGAATTCAAGCGAGGCCTAGCTAATTTGACGATTCCATGGCCCAGTTAAATATTATGAATGAGCAACAATATGTCCGAAAAGTATTGAAGATTTTGTGTCATATCGTCATATTTTTAGAATTTTCAAACTAACGCTGTGCAATTTTCTGGCCGTAAAGTCAAGTAAACAGCAATCCCACTGCATGCACTTTGTACATGTAAGAAATTCACGCATTTTTCTCCTATAACAGCAAATCAAGAACTGCTTTAAATAAAGCTTTTTTCCTGAAATATTTCTTGCTCACTTTCTTTTTGCTTCTCAGAGAAAAATTCTATGTAACATGAGATCTCTTCACCCGCAGCCAAATTTGCATAACCACTCTGAAATCTGATCCATCTGCCTGTTTGGACACTTGCAAATTAAAATATTTAGCGATTTTTGTCTTTCCTCTTGATTTTAGAGTAAAAACTTAATATGCACCTATAATTTTTCATTGAAAATAAGTTATTTAATCAAACCTTTAAATGTGTTACTTTTTTTGTTGTGTTTTTAATGTATGCAAATAAGGACATGAGTCACAAACAATGGAATCCATGTTTGATTTTTTTTTTTCTCAACCATTTTCACTGCATTACTGCAGTAGGGTAGGACTAGAACAGAACATATGTGATCCATGCAAGTAGTCCACCCATTAAATCCCACCCATCCCACCCCAGGGGAGGACATCCATCACACAGTAATCTCGTGGGTGAGAAATTAATGTCTCCTACCCCTAACCCTGTAGGAGACAGGACCTCCATTTTTTCGTCCCTATCCGAGAAGACTAGAATATCTAACCATTTCTTTATGTTATAGGAAGGTAGCATATTCTTCTCAATTATCTTAAGAATGAATGAATGAATGAAAAACTTTATTTAAGTGTCTATGTTTTTAGCTATAAGGTAATGGGGGACACTAAAAAATTTAAAAGTCAAATACATTTACATAATTTATGTAGATAATAGTTATTTACAGCAGATAATTAAAAAGATTATAAAGTTATTTAGTTTAAGTTTTAAATTTCAACGAGAGTTGAAGACCTTGAGTGTTGGTCCGGCTGGGGCTTGAACCCTCTACCTCACCCTGCACAACAGTCCAGTGCTCTATCCATTGAGCTAACCGGGAGGCGTGTATAATATGCACCATGATTTTGATGTTATTTTTGTAGAAAAAAAGTGCACATTATACACAGGTAAATATGGCAAATCATCTTTACATTAAGACAGAC